CTCAGTGTCAGCAGTTCAAAAACTACCAGCTGTTCCGCAGGAGAAAGATGACGCTTTCTGCTCCCATAAAGATTTACAGCCTCAGAAACCCTGTACAGAGTCGCTATGAGTCAGAACTGACTCCACAACACATAACAACAACAACAACAATCAGTTCTAGGCAGAAGAAGGACTTACAAGCTTTCTATGGTGATATTTCTGGCTATTTCTTCCTCTCCCCCTCAAGTGTCTTTTATAATGGTATACAAGGGAAACCAAGATTCAAAAGACAGCCAAGCATCTTAACATTATTTCCCCCCTTTTGCCCATTCCAATCATGTCTCAATCCCTGTATCCCAGAGCCCAAGGTTGTGCATACATCATTATTTACCTCTGTCCCACTTAGCCCATGCAAACCTGCCTAATTGTTCTCCCATCTGCCTTGTTCTTCCACAGAATCTGTTTTGTTGTGTATAATTTCATCAAAAAATACAATACCACCAAAAAAAAAAAAAAATTACAGCCAAGAAAACTCTATAGACTAGTTCTACTCTGTGACACGTGGGTCACTATAAGTTATAATCAATTGAGAGCAATGGATTTGGTTTTGCATTTTTTATGTGACAGGCAAAGCACTGGAAATAGGACCTGTAGGGGAGAAAACCAACAACAAAAAGTAAATAAGGACATTAAAGGATTCCTTATTGTGGTGAACACTATGAAGAAAACAAGGGGTTTCAATAGAGATTCATAGATAACAGATCAAAAGAGAGGAATGAAGGAGCACAGTAATCTTGGAGCAGATGGGAAAGAGATGAATGAGGAGGATAAGGGTAAGATTGGAGAGGGTTCAGCCCTGTTTCTCTGGGGTTGGGGCAGTGGGAACTAGTCAAACCACTGGTCTCAGTTCCTGGCATATTCTGACTTTAACTTATCCTTCAACCCTTACCCCCCAAATCTCCTCAGGGCTTAATGAGTCACTTGAAACCTTTCCGTAGCTTCCTGGGTGGCAAGGAAGGGGTGGGAGCAGATCTCTAGGTCTTTGAGGGTAGCAGAAATGGATAGGTTGTTTGAGAAAGACGGGAAAGCAAACCAAGTTCTGAGTCTTCTCCTTGTCTCCTCTGGTTTAGCCACAAAGAAAGGTCTTTCTATGCCAGGAGGGCAGTGAGGATAACTAGACCCGGCTGGACACTCAGATTCCAGATGTGAGAGGCAGTGTTGAAATAAGATCCCAATTTCCCCCCTTGGTTTTCCCTTCCCCTCTCCTGACTAATGCCCTGGAGAAATTTTCCATAATAAACAAATTATGCATTCCTGTCCTTAGGTACCTCCTGCTCTTTCCCACCAAGCAATGTTCTTCCATCATCACTACTTCCCCTCCTGCAATTGATGTTGGTATGAGCATGTGGGTTTGATCACATGTATGAGTAGCTATGTATATCAATGCTACAATTGTATACTGTGCAAGTTGCCTTGGGATGGGGGAGTAAGTGGGAGTGCTTCAGGTGGTAATGTAAGGATGATGGCAGATATGAAAGGAGGTGTGGGAAAAGGATGTCTTTGTTTATAGAGAAGGTGTGTTTAAAACCTGTCAGGAAGAAGTGTGTAATATGGAATGGATCTTGTGTATTTAGACAAGAGTCGTGGGTGTAAATTAAAGTGCCATAAAAGCCCAGGAAGCAATTGTATATACAGCAATAATATAATTATTCACAGTCTGATTGTTTCATCCCCAATTGTTTCAACTTCCTTGGTTGAAAAAAAAAAAAAAATGTCCTCATACATTTCTGGTTTGGCATCTATATAGGAATTGTCTAAACTTTCCTTAACCTGTTGCCATTGAGTCCATTTCAATCCATGGCAACCCCATGTGGTACAAAGTAGAATCTGTGTTACCCAACCTCCTTCAGCTTCTCTCAGGACTTTGTAGATGTGTATGTGAAGAAGTGTGCTTATATCTCAAAAACCTGCATTGACGAAGCCAGTGTGTGAATACTATACGTGCATTTATAGTTCTGCATTTTCATTTAACACGATTGTTGAGCAACTGCTCCATACAAGAAAGGATGCTGGTTTCAATAGCGTACACAGGGACTGTACCACACAACCTCTAACAGAAGATAGCATACAAGCCTGGATCTGGGCAGCAGGCATACTACGTAGTACATTTCAAATCCCTGGAGCGGATCCTTGGTGGTTCAAATCCACCCAGAGGTACCTTAGAAGAAAAATATGTCAATCTACCTCGGAAAGATTATAGTCATAGAAAACCTGTGGAGCACAGTTTTATTCTGACATACATGGGTTCAAACTGTCTCAATAGTAACTAGCTTGGTTTTGAGGTTTATGCTAGAAATATCTCTTACAGCCACATCTCCTCTCGTTCCTTCTGCCATGGCCCACTGCAGACCCTGTGACCTATCTGAACCCTACAAATAGCATCCTGTCCACTGCCTTAGCCTTTCCCCCTCCAGTACATGCTCCTCATCCCAGCCAGCACCCAACTTGAATTGCCTTCCTTGACAGGAGCATCTAGTTCAAAAACTCCATAATCTAGAGTCAAACCCAGACTCCTGGTCTGGCAGTTAAGCTCACCCCCACTTTGCCCAACTCCTTTGCTGCCACTATTACCTCCCACCACTCCTTCACAGGAGTGCAGAGGCACCACAGGATAAGCACTGCACTGTGAATCAAAAGGTTGGCAACTCAAGCCCATCAGTCGCTCCAAGGGGGAAAGATGAGGGTTTCTACTCCTGCAAAGATTTAAAGTCTTGGAAACTCTATACAAGGTTGCTATGAGATGGAACCAACTCAACAGCACTTAACAGCAACAACTCCTTTACAGGAAACTTACTCTGAGGTTGTTTTTATTACAATTCCCTAAACACATCCTGTACTTTTCCAGCTCAAGGCCTTTTCTGATTCCTTTTTTTTTTTTTTTTTCACACAGCCATCTTCCACATCTGAATCTGTCCTATCAAATGACAACCTGCCATATCAAATGTCATATCAAATTCAAGGTCCTTTCAAATGGCACTCTTGAAGTAATCCTTGACCACTTTGGGGTGAAGCATTTCCTGACCAGTTCTGAGTGAACCTCTTTTAGGTCCACCTTAACATTAGTCTTAAATTTTCTTATAACCTTCAAGAGAGTTCTCCTATCCCCACACAAGAAGGGAAGACCTTTAATGCTGAGATGTCAACTTTATCTGGCCTGCTTCACTCAGCAGCAAATGTACTGAAATTCACCTCACTATTCTCAACAGTACCTTTACAAGGGTGCCTGGCACATGTAAATGCTCAAAGATGTTGTACGTGTACTCAAGCAGCTGTCTCTAAGGCAGGATCTTAGTTATCTAGTGCTGCTATAACAGAAATACCACAAGTGGGTAGATTAAACATTTATTTTCTCAGTTTCAGAGGCTAGAACTCCAAATTCTGGTTGCTGGCTTTAAGGAAAGGCTTTCTCTTTCTCTCAGCTATAGGGAAAGGTTCTTGTCACTTCAACTTGCTTCCTGGTTCCTTAGAGATCTCCATGTGGCTTGGCATCAATCTTGCTCCATCTCTGCTCTGATCTTTTAAATTGACTTAGATACACCCTATACTAATCCTGTCTCATTAATATAACAAAGACAACCTATTTCCAAATGGGATTATAACCACAAGCATCAAACCAAAACCAAATCAAATCCACGGCCATCTAGTTGGCTCCAACTCATAGTGACCCTATGTAGAGTTTCCAAGATTGTACATCTTTACAGGAGCAGACAACCTCATCTTTCTCTCATAGAGCTGCTGGTGAGTTTCAACTGCCAACCTTGTGGTTAGCAATCCAATGCTTATGCTACAGCACAACCAAAGCACTTTATCACAGGCATAGAGGTTAAGATTTACAACGTATATTTTGAGGGGACATAATTCAATCCATAAAAGGTAGTTAAAAAATGTGTCAATTCACTGGGACATCTTGTTACTACCATTGCTACATTTGTATAATGCATCCCAGTTTCAAAAGTTCATCATGTACATTTTATTTGATCCATATAACCAGAGCGCAAATTGTGGGGCTGTTGACCCCTTGTCTTTGCATTTTGAGGTCCTCAACACCAGACTGGTGTGAAGCCTTCAGATAAGCACCAAACTGCTAACCGCAAGGTCAGGGGTTTGAGCCCGCCAGCTGTTCTGTAAAACCCTATACAGATCACTATGAGGTGGAATTGACTAGATGGCACTTAACAACAACAACACACCAGACTTTGTGTGAGTATTTCTGCACAAACTTAAGTGGTAGCTTTGGTGGACTGTCTCTGGTAAAGTGAAATCTCTGAACCTTTGCTCTTTGTGTGTTTGCATGTCTGTGGTGGGCACGTGTGAGCTGTGTGCGGACATCTTGTGTACAAGTAGGGTGTGTGTGTCGTGTGTGCATATATGAATGTGTGTGCATGTGTCCAAGTGCTAAAGCAGGCAGGGCTGTGCACTAACATTTCATTTCTATTCATAATGATTTCCCTTCTAGGATGTTCTTGTCTTTCTTTCTCTTTCTCTCTTTCTTTCTTTGTGTACCTACAAGTGTGTGAGTATACGCATATACAACTATAACTCCTTGACCTTACCAGGTCAGTACCATAGCAAAACAGGTCCACTTCCTTGTATAAGCCTTTCTACCTCCCCCAGGGATGGCGCCTGTGATGTGGCCTGCGACTGAGCCATCTCCAAAGCGTGTTTGTGGGCCCCTCTCCAGCGGCCACATGTCCAGACATGTGCCAGCTGCTGGGATTTCTCCACTCCTACTCACAACTCACACACAACACGCACAGCACACTCTGGCGCCTAGGGTTGTTCAGGCCAGAGTCTCCACCCCCGTATTTGCTCAATCGTTGGAATTTCCAGTCCCCGGCTGCCAACTGCCCTGAGCCCACGTAGGAGGAGTTGAGAAAGGCCCGCCCAATCTCTCCGCTGACTTAACTACCTCCGCTGGGGCTGCCGGTCCGCACTCCACCTTCTGCTCTGCTCAGCGCGACATGTGTCACTCCCGCAGCTCCCTGCCCACAAGCAGCTCCCTGCCCACAATGAGCGTCCTGCAAGCCCCGATGTCCACCCCCACCACTAGCCTGGGTGCCCGGCGGGAATCGGGTCCCGAGATCTTCACCTTCGATCCTCTCCCAGAGCCTGCGATGGCCCCAGCCCCACGCCCCATCACCTTTCGCGGGCACCGCAAGCGCAGCCGCAAGGTTCTCTACCCCCGAATGGTAAGTGTCGCTGAAGTTGGCTGGCACAGGCCCACTACCTAGACGCTGTGGGGGAACCGCCAGACGTCAGGGGGCTGTGATCTAACCTGTCTCCTTCTTTCCCCTCAGGTCCGACGCCAACTGCCAGTAGAGGAACCAAATCCTGCCAAAAGACTTCTCTTTTTGTTACTCGCCATCATGTTCTGCCAGATCCTGATGGCCGAAGAAGGGGTGTCAGTACCTCTGTCCCCTGAGGATGCCTCCACTGACACTTCCCCCACACCCATCCCTGAGCCCCCAGTTTCCAAGTCACTTAATCTGACCTTGGAGTCCTCCGACTATGCTCTGGACCTCAGTACTTTTCTCCAGCAACACCCCGCCGCCTTCTGACCAAGATAGTCCTCACCACCAAAAATATGAATCTGAAAAACCAAAGAAGACAGGCGTAACTGGTATGCAAGGCCGTCACTCAAACTGGGACTCCCAAGGCAACTCAGACTGAACACTACAGCAGAGGAGCCATCTGGTGCCTGGGGGACACTGAGGCCAGAACTCCTCTGGATCTAGGCCCTGTGGGAAAACAAAGCAAGGGTCGTTAATTTATTTCTCATTGCTCCTAATTAATATTTATATGTATTTATGTATATACCCCCTAGGTGATGGAGGGGTGTATGGAATAATTTATTTTAACTTATGCAGGGTATGATTGGTGCCCCCCTGCTGGAATTACAAATCTCTTGTTATTTATTGAGCTTTTGTGGCATTCGTGGAGGCAGGGAGCCTAGGACTCTGCGAAACTAGAAGAGAATGCTCCGCCGCTTGGATACAGCGTGCAGGCAGGAAGTCAAGGATGGTGGTGGGGTGTAGTTTTAGGGGGCGACACTCTCAGTCTTCCAACATTTCAACTCTGCGGGGCCTACAGTGTGAGGCTCTGGTGGACTGTTGGGGATAAGATCCGTGGCCTTCCATCTCCCCAAAGTGCAGGGTGGCTATGCGGTCGGGTCGGTGGGCTTTCAGGGTGTCTGTTGGGGTCGCCCGGTATGTTCTGTGAACATAAATAAACTTGATTTACTCTCAGCAGTCCTTTGCGTGTGTCTTTAGGAAAAGCGACTCCCTACTCTCTCCTCGCCTTCAGTCGCCAAAAACCTGTACAGGGGGCTGTGAACCAGTGCGCTCGTTCTAGGGTCCCAGAGTTACGGGTCCTATAGTATCCGTATCCGGTCTCCGGATGCTGCCTTGCGTGGCCCTGTCTGCAGTTTCCCCAGTCGGTTACTGCCGGAATGTGGCAACCTCTCCATCCCGGTAGCAGAAGCCTTGACCAAGGAAGTCACGTCCATGGCCGGATACGGGGGAGGGGGAACCTAGGCGGGGCTGTGCTCAGGAAGGCTGCTGGTGAAGACTGTGGGGCAGCGGGTTCCACCTCCCGCTCACGAACAGTCCCTCCTGCCTTTCCTCCCCACCCCAACCCAGGACTGGCCAGGCTGGCTCCAGATCCGAGCGAAGCCTGCTGGGAAGGGGCGGAGCCAGAACCGGGCCCGGGCGGGCGGTGAATCCACTGCTGGGGGTGGGGTCGCGTTAGCCGTCAGCCGCGGCAACAGGGTGCGGCCTGGAGTGGGGCACGGATACAGGCACGGGTGCGGCTGCAGGCCTAGCTTCCAGGTATCCGGCTTGCTAGCGGGCCCTGCTTGACTCCCCAGGGTGCCCTGTGCACCTCTGCCCTTCTCAAGACCCTTCTATCCTCTTCCAGTGTCTGGGGAGGTGAGTGGGGGAGGGGAGGCAGAATCTGGGGCTGTCGAGGAGCTCAGAGGGAGGAAACGGTCCAGGAGGGTCCCTATGCGCGTTGGAGCCTTAGGAGGTTGAAGGTAAATGTCCGTAGCCAGAATCGGGACTCGACAAGGGAAGGGGACTGGCCGTAAACAGGAGAGAGTGGGTCGTTTAGGGGGTCTGTTGGATTGCATAAGGAAAAGCCTTAGCGGGCCCATGGGTGTGTTGAAAGATATCCTAGGGCACTGGGCCATGGTGGATGCCCGATGGGCGAGGATGACGGGAAGAAGACTGATTCCAGCAGACGCCACTGAGCCCAGTCCCAATCAGCAAAAGCTCTCTCTCCCTCTCCTCTAGCCCCGGCCCTGAGCCATGTTTTTCACCTGTGGCCCAAATGAGGCCATGGTGGTCTCTGGTAAGTATTGTTTTCTTCCAGCCAGTGACCCCAAAACCCTTGTGAATCAGGCCTCTGACCCTTCCCCTTTTCGCTTCCAGCTCCCCACTCTTCTACCCCTTGATTGCATGCTGCTTATCATTCCCACTCATTTGTCAGTCCCAGCCACTTCCCTTCTGAACCAGAGTCCTGATATGGCACTATAGAATAAGCATTGGACTGCTAACCACAAGGTCAGCGGTTCAAAATCACCAGCTGTGAGTCGCAACCAATTTGATGACAGTTAACAACAACACCCTTCAGGCAAGAGACCTGTAAGGGATGCCAGAATGAGTGGGTCCCAAGGACCACATGGGTTTGTCTGTAGGAGACAATGACCAGAAGGCTGTCCCTGAGCCCCTCCAGCTCCCAAGTTCCTGCTAATGGATTTTCCCCATCCCCCAGTTCCTCAGAGTTTTCCACATCCCATCTCTCCTGTGGCCACAGCCACTCACTGCTCCTCGCCATGTAGGTTTCTGCCGAAGCCCCCCTGTCATGGTGGCTGGAGGACGAGTCTTTGTCCTGCCCTGCATCCAGCAAATCCAGAGGTAGGTAAAAAGAGAGCCAGGAAAGGGAAACTTGCATTTTTCCTCTCTCTTCCTTTTCTCACTGTCTGTACCTTCTTTTTCACTTAGGATTTCTCTCAACACACTGACCCTCAATGTCAAGAGTGAAAAGGTTTATACTCGCCATGGGGTCCCCATCTCAGTCACTGGCATTGCCCAGGTGAGGCTTTCAAAGCCTTTCCTCCAAAGTTCACTCCAACATCACCTTTTCTCTCCCAGACATTGAGTCTTCTGATCATGGCCTTGCTAACCCTTGCCTGAAGAGAAGTTTCTCTTCTAGTCTCACCTTCTCCAGGCACTCTCCCTTTTGTCTCTGAGATAGAAGATGATTTCCTTAGAGGGCTTCCTCCGTGGTTTCCTAAGACCTACACCACAACCTTCCCTCATGCACTCTGGTTGCAGGTCAAAATCCAGGGGCAGAACAAGGAGATGTTGGCGGCTGCCTGCCAGATGTTCCTGGGGAAAACTGAAGCTGAGATTGCCCATATCGCACTGGAGACGCTGGAAGGCCACCAGAGGGCCATCATGGCCCACATGACTGTGGAGGTGGGCCGGGGACTGGGATCCGGGCTCAGGAAAAGATTTGGAAACTAAGTTCGAATGAGTGGGTCCCAAGGATCAAATAAATGGGTCTCCCTGTAGGAGACAGTAGCCAGAAGATCTGAGAGCTGAAGTTTCTTCTTCCTACCATCTTGTTATCTAGGAGATCTATAAGGACAGGCAGAAATTCTCAGAGCAAGTCTTCAAGGTGGCCTCATCAGACCTGGTCAACATGGGCATCAGTGTGGTTAGCTATACTCTGAAGGACATTCACGATGACCAGGTAAACCAGGTCGTTAGTTCTCCCTGCTTTCCTACTCTCGTCTCTGAAACCCTCCCAGGGATTCTGATTTTTGTTCCTCTCCCACAGGACTATTTGCATTCATTGGGGAAAGCTCGTACTGCTCAGGTTCAAAAAGATGCTCGAATTGGGGAAGCTGAGGCAAAGAGAGACGCTGGGATCCGGGTGAGAGAGATGAGGTTATTCCGGCACCATGTTCTATTGGGCACTGGTGGGAGACAGGGATGGAAGTGACACAGCTGAGTGCGCAGGGGCTGGTGGAGCTTTGCTTACAGGGAAATAGATGCCAGAGGTAGAGTGAGCAGGGGAGCCTGGTAGGGAACATACTCTCCTACCTATGGTTTTCCTCTCCCTGCTCTGACTTTTCCTATTTGATCTCTGCCCTGGACAGGAGGCCAAAGCCAAGCAGGAAAAGGTGTCTGCCCAGTACCTGAGTGAAATTGAAATGGCCAAGGCCCAGAGGGACTACGAACTGAAGAAGGCTGCTTATGATATCGAGGTCAACACCCGCCGAGCACAAGCTGACCTGGCCTACCAGTTACAGGTCAGAGCCACTATACTGAGCAAATGGCCAGGCTAGACTGGCCCCTTCCCCATTCTTTTCAGGCCCCTACTTTTATTTGTAGTCTCTCTCTGATCCCTTATCCTGGCTCACCATTTCTGACCCAATTTCCTCTTATTAGAAGAGATCTAGAAGACTCAAACATTTCAGCAAGATAATAACAATAATAATAATAATAAGGCCAGGATAACCAAAAAAAAAAAAAAAAACAGACCAGTTGCCATCGAGTCAACTCTTACTCAGAGCACAACTCCTCAGGACAGAGGAGAATTGCCCCATAGGATTTCCAAAGCTTTCATCTTTACTGAAGCAGATTACCACATCTTCCTCCAGAGCACTTGGTAGGTTTGAACAGCTGACCTTTCAGTTAGCAGATGAGTACTTAACCACAGCACCTCATTTAGACATAGCTCTAAAGTCAGCCTCAGGAGAATGTGAGTGAGAGTTGAGTCAAAGCATCGTCACTAGGGCTGAGCATAGATTGAGGGTGAACCAAAGCTGAAATCCAGCCTGTGCTCCCCTCTCTAAGCTGTGCACTCTGACATGGTCTGAGATCAAAGAAGATTGTGAGCAAGGAAAACATAGATGTGGGCACTGAATCCTGCAAAGTGAGGTGTGGACAGCCCCTTATATTGCAAGAAGGGACTCGAGACCTTAACCTAGAACCAAACAAACCAGTTGCTATTGAGTCAGTTCCAACTCATGTGGCCCCTGTATGCAGAGTAGAACTTCTCCACAGGGTTTTCAAGGCTGGGACCTTTGGGAAGCAGATCACCAGGCCTTTCTTTTGAAGAGTCCCTGGGTGTGTCTGAACTACCACCCTTTCAGTTAGGAATTGAGCACTTAACCATTACACCACCCAGGAACTCCTTAACTAGAGGACAGTAGTGTTATGAAATTTGTTTTCATTAGGAGTTGGTGCCGACTGACAATATAATGTGATGCAAAACAGCTTTAGTAATGATGTGAATTCCTGAGTGGCTTGACAGGTAGTTGAGTGTAGCATAGAGTCTTGCTGTTCAGGTGTGGTCGGCCTGACAGCAGCATCATCACCAACAGGCTGCTTATTGGAAATACCAAGACTAGAGTCCCCAGTTCAGAGCTTCTCAATTAGGGTCTGCATTTTTGCCCTAGACGCTTCAGGTCCATGTCGGAGTTTGCGAAGCCTTAGCATGATGGCTTAACTGTGACCAGACAAAGAGTACCCAGTACCTAAGGGGGCTT